GCCCAATCTATGACAAAGATAGGCAAGTAGATCTTCTCCACAATCTGACCAGTCTCGCAGACTACGATGCAACATCAGTACAATGCTACTCCATCCCCCCCAGAGGTCATCGAAAGAAACCCACTAACATAGCCAAAATTACCTTCCATAGACATGACCTTCCCTTTAACGTCTACATAGGAGGAGAATCCCTCCCTGTTCGTCCATACCAACCTCCTCCACGTCAGTGCCAAAATTGTTGGCGTCTAGGACACCCAGCCAAACATTGCCGTTCCACAGCCAGATGCCCATTATGTGCCCAACCTGGCCATACCCGATCTAACTGCTCTGCACAATCACGCACATGTGCCAACTGTGGCGGCCCCCATAATGTATTTTATAGGGGCTGTCCCACCTACAAATTTGAATCTGAGGTAGCAACTCTCAGATTCAAACTTGGACTCACACTGCGTGAAGCCAGACAGGAAGCACGTCGACGTGGATTCTCTCTTACTCCTTACTCCAGTAATACTGCTCATTCTAACACTTCTCCTAAACCCACCCCTCCTACATCTAACCCCCCCACTTCTACCTCCTACCTTCCCCAGTCAAACTCTTTTGCCATCCTAAATCCAGAAACTCCAATCTCTACTACAGATACTCCAATCACTACTACAACCCCAACACCTTCCCCTCTCCCTCCTCGCACTCCCCGTAACAGATAGAACAAACGTTCCACCCCCTCTTCCCCTACCACACAATCACCTCCACCATCCTTTGCCCCTACTCTTGAGACACCAGTCCTCTCTTCCCCCCCTTACAAGAAATCCTTTATCCCCCACAACTCCCCAACCAACTCCTCAGAAGAAACTATTGAAAATATTCAAGATTACTTAATGCAAACTGACACTCAACCTACAACCCCTGCTCCTTCCACACACAAGTAACTGCTGATATCCATCCTCCTCCTAATGATATCCCCCCTACACCCTATCCTCCTACCCCCTCCCAACACAGTCCATCCCCCCAACCCCGACCCCAACCCCGCCCACATTAACCCTCCCACCATCCCCTCTATCCCTTCCACTCCCTCCTGGATACACACGTGAATCCCTTATGTCACAAGTATCCCCTTCCTCAGACCCTCCATCTCCTAATACCCCTCCTGATAGAACACCAACTCCCACATCTCTCCCATCTCAAACCTCTCAGTCCTTATCCCACCCTCTAGCTGCTTCCCCCTCAAAGTCTCCAACACGTACTGCAATCTATATCACTAAATCAACGAAAGTATAACTATCCTTCATTGGAATATTCGCGGTTTCCGCTCCCACAGACCTGACCTTCGTCATATCCTTTCCTCTTATAACCCATCTATTGTATGCCTTCAAGAAACCTTTCTTACACATCCTCCAATACCAATCCCCAATTATCATTTTGTCTCTTCCCCACATTCCCTTTATGTCTCGTCCATACTTATCAATCAGAAAACACCTTATGTCACACCACCCTTTCAAACCAATGTCCCTTGCACAGTTATTCGTATCTTCCTTCATCGTTGGATCACAGTGATTTCAGTCTACTTCTCCCCTTCCCACCCCATTGACTTTGTTGCTTTTGAAAATCTAATTTCCCAACGTCAACCACCTTTCCTCATAGTGGGCGACTTTAACTGCCGCCACACTCTTTGGGGTGATTCTATTACCAACTCCCGAGGCCGATCTCTAGAGCGCTTCCTCTCCACAGCTGACCTTACTATTCTAAATTCAGATCGCCCCACACACTTTGATACACGCACGCAATCTTTTTCATGCATTGACCTCTCTCTATGCTCCCCTTCTCTTCATATAGATATCCACTGGTCAGTCTTAGACCACTTTCCCTATAGTGACCACTTTCCAGTTCTCCTTTCTCCTACTTCATACGTACCACTTCCTAACTCCCCACGCTGGTGCTTTGATAGAGCCGACTGGCATACTTTCACTTCACTCTCTGCTATTCATACCCCTCCATCCTCCCTCACCTCCATTTCAGAAATGATACAATGTTTCACAAGTACAGTCTTAAGAGCTGCACATACAGCTATCCCTCGAACCTCAAGACCATATACCTCTAAATGTGTTCCATGGTGGAATTCTGATTGCACTAAAGCACTTCGCTTAAAACGTGCAGCCTGGAACAGTTACCGCTACAAGAGAGGTACTCCAAATCAACTATCAGCCCTTATCTCCTTTAAAAGAGCATCTGCCTGTCTTCGTCGTACAATCCGGAATAGTAAAACAAATAGCTGGCGAAATTATGTTTCATCAATTACATCCTCTACATCTATCTCAAATGTATGGCGACGAATCCATAAACTATCAGGCAAACATCCCCCCCATCCTGCCCCCGTCCTCCATATTCGAGATACCCTCATTTCTGATCCTCTCCAAGTCGCTAATGAACTGGGTGATTATTTCAGCCAGATCAGTAGTGGCTCTCACCTTTCTCCACACTTCTCTTCTATCAAGACCACCAGAGAACGTACCCCCATTACCTTCACCCCATCCTCCTGCTGAGTCCTATAATGCTCCATTTTCTTCCTCTGAACTCATTACTGCCCTAAAATCGTGCCGCAACACTCATGAAGGCCCTGACGGTATTCACTACCGTATGCTCCGGCAACTCCCATCTTCCTCCTTATCCTTCCTATTAAAAATTTACAACCACATATGGACATCAGGAAATTTTCCTTCTAATTGGCGAGAAGCTCTTATCCTTCCCTTCCTGAAACCCAATAAATCGGGTACCCTCCCTCAAGACTATCGCCCCATCGCACTAACTAGCTGCTTGTGCAAACTATTAGAGCGAATGGTGAACTCCTGCTTAATGTGGTATCTTGAATCTCACAATCTTCTCTCTCCTTCCCAATTCGGTTTTCGCCGTGTCAGAAGCACAGCTGACCCCCTTGCTCATTTTGAGACATCCGCATTTGCACGCCATGAATCCGTACTAGCTATATTTTTTGATCTAGAAAAAGCATATGATACGACATGGCGGTACCATATTCTCCAACAATTGATATATGTTGATGATTTAACCATCTATGCATCTGGCACATCCATACCAAATCTCTGCCAATTTCTTCAATCTGCAATCTCATCAGTATCTTCCTGGGCCACAAACCATGGCTTCCGCTTTTCTATCTCTAAATCTTTCTCCATCCTTTTCTCTCGCTCACGTGTGAGTCCCCTACCCCCACTCTTCTTATATGGCACTCCACTCCAATGCCGTTCCTCTGGCAAATTCCTAGGCGTCATTTTTGACTCCAAACTGACCTGGCGAGACCATATTCTACACATTAAAGAAAAAGCTCTCCGCCGCCTTCGAATTTTAAAAACTCTATCCCATATATCATGGGGCTCAGATCGCAAAACTCTTCTTCATCTTCATTACTTTGATCCTCTCCACTCTTGATTATGGATGCCATATCTACTCCTCTGCCTCAACTTCTCTCCTTGCCCATCTTGACACAATCCATCACTGTGGTCTTCGCTTAGCACTAGGCGCCTTCCTCTCCTCTCCAGTTGAGAGCCTGTATACTGAATCAGGCATACCATCTCTATCTCGACGTCGTGCCCTTCTCTCTCTCCGATGTTATGTTCGTTTCCACCAACTTCCCCTCACTAAACTAACTCAATCTCAATCTCACAATCCCTACATCCTACCTTAGCTTCATCTCCACGCTTACCTACTCCTTTCTCCACTCGCATGGATACCCTCCTCTCCCATTCCCCTTTCCCCCATCTCCAACCTCTCCCGTTCTCTGTCCCTTCCGTCCCTCCATCGCTTATACCTCACCCCCATATTTGCATTTCAGTTTTCCCCGACCCACCAAAATCAAATATTCCTCCTACTGTCCTTCTCATCCATTTCCTTGACCATGTCTCCACCCATTCCTCTAGTATACACGTATATACTGATGGCTCCAAATCCACCTCTGGTGCTGGTTTTCCAGTAATATTCCCAACTCGTACTTTCAAATACTCCCTCCTGAATCCAGTGTCCTTACTACAGAACTGTATGCACTCCTTTTTGCCCTAAAACATACTCACTCTCCTCTTCCTCTTTTACAAATTTTACTGACTCCCGTAGCTCATTAACTCTCATAAAGTCAATACACAGCACCAACCCCCTTGTTTGTAAGATCCAGAACTGGTTGTTCTACCTGTCCACACGCCATAAAACAATCAAATTTTGCTGGGTGCCCAGCCATGTTGGAATCCCCGGCAATGAACAGGCAGATACACTAGCACGCCATGCTGCTATGTCCACATCATACCAACCACGCTTCTCACGTATCCCAGCCACGGATTATTACCCACACTTTAAGACCTTCTTGTATAAACGATGGCAATCTTTTTGGTCAAGCCTCCACACTAATAAATTACATTCTGTAAAACTATCAATCTCCTCCTGGTCAGCTCCATTTCATCGGAACAGACGTTGGGAGACTGCTCTCGCCCGCTTACGTATTGGCCACACCCGTCTAACACACTCCTATCTGATGTCACAATCTGATCCACCCCTATGTTCCTTATGTAATGTTCCCCTTTCAATCGTACACATCCTATTGTCGTGCCCACGTTTTGAAACAGCCCGTACCTCTGCTTTCCCCCACCTATCCTCCCTTCACCGACCTCCCAACCTATCAGACATCCTTACAGAATCCCACACTTTCTGCATCAACAACCTGTTCTCTTTCCTCAAACGCATACATATCCTTTATCTAATCTAACACCCGACCTTAACCCTTTGACTCACCAATTCCTTTGCCCAGTTTAGACATCTAATCACTAACTCAACCACCTTTCACTAACATTAACTATAGTGCTACATGACCTTAGATGTCTAGCACATTTATCTTGCTTTTAACCATTAACTATTAACCATTGCATGCTGCTTGTACACTTTATAAATTCTCTTTTCTCCCTCTGGTATTTCCATCTCTGTGTACCAGTCTCGAACTGCTTCCTCTTTGGCTACTGCCACGGCCCTTTTTGTCTCTTTGCCACATTGTACCAGTTCCTTTTCTCTAGGCTCTCCTCGTCATCCTGCCACTCCTTGAAAGTTCTCTTTTCCTTGATCTTCTGCACCTCTTCAGTCCACCACCATGTTTCTCGTTCTCCTGCTCCTCTCCCACTTGTTCTTCCACACAGCTTTTCTACCACTTCCACCATTGCTTCCTTCGAGGCCTTCCACATTTTGGTTGCTCTCTCTTCGCTCTCTTCAGTCTCTCCTACTTGTCTTCTGTATTCTGCACATTCCTGTAGTTTCCACACCTTGATCTTCTGCAGCTTCTTTCCTGTTGTTTCCCCTTTCCTTTTCTTAGAGAACGTCCGATCCATGACCAGCAGTCTGTGCTGGTGAGCAACTGCCTCACCGGGAATCGCTTTTGTATCTCTCACGTTTTTACGGATTCTGTTCCTCGCCACTAGGAAGTTGATCTGGGAACTGCTATCTCCACTTCGTATGTTGTTAGATGTTCATCTCTTCCTGAATCCGGTGTTTACTATGACCAGTTCCAAGCTCTCTAATGTCTAGCATTCTCTTTCCTTCCTCGTTTCTCAGGCCGTATCCAAAACCGCCATGACATACTTCATAACCTCCTATTATTTCTCCTACATAACAGTTCAGATCAGCTAGGATGATTTCTTCCTCAGGGATCTCTCTAATACTGTTCAAGTTGTTCTCTGAACTCTTCCTTCTCTTGATCTTCACACCCAATCTGTGGAGCATAACCACTCATGATGTTGATCAGACTTTCCTGCTAGCACCTTAATTTTCATCAACCTGTCTGAGGGCCTTTGGACTTCCACCACCCTTTGCTTGAGCTCTTCATCAAGGTTGATGCCCACACCGTTTCTTCCCGTTCTACTTCCAGAGTAAGACAGCTTATAACCTCCGATCTCCCTTACTCCGCCGCCCCTCCACCTTGCTTCTTGGTCTCTGCTCTGTGTGCAAGAAGTAGAGATAGTATTTTCAATGTGCCGATGTTCCAAGTGGCACATCTCCACTCCAACTCGCTTTAACCGTCGTCGCTGGGCCGATGGTACCCGATGCATATTTCTTACACCGTCCCAGGGCTAACGGTGCGCGTTTAAAAAGTTATAACTCTAATATACATGTATATGTATATACATAAACACATGTAAGTGTGCGTGCGCGTGCACATGTATATACACATACATGTATTACCTTTGTGTATGTATGTCAATAGGAATAAGATTCTTACGCTAGAAAATACTGTAATACTGTTATTTACACAAAACACGCACGCACACATCCTATCGAAGAACACATCCTATCGAAGAACACGTGGGCGCCACACACGCAGCACCGGCAGCGGCGCTAATGAGCGTACTTTAATTAAGGGGACCGTCCCTGAAAAAATGCCGATTTTCAATTTTTTGTTGAAAAATAGAAAACGGTCTCACAGATTCTAATTAAATTTGGTAGGGTGAAAGAGTACTTAAAGTTCAGTAAAAATTTGTGTAATTATTTTTTTTGAACGAAGGGAACTGTAGGCGCAACGAAAAATCGACATTTTAGAGTTAGGTTAACTCTAGCCTTCTCACGTCCCAGAGTTATCACTTAATTTTCTATATCACTTTTGTTGAGAAAACCTCAAGGTCATATAAGGAAAACTACGTATTCGAATTTGGAAATTCAATAATTCATTTCATTAATTCATAATTGCAGAAAAAGAAAAGAAACGTAAAAAATTCGTTAAAATTATAATATTTTGAATAAAAAAAGAAAAAAAAAGACGTAGTTCTATGCGCATAGTGACGTTCTCTTTAGGGACAAAAGCATTTTGAAATCGGACAAAAACTAAGCCGTGAGTCCGAAACATGAAAAAATTACTTTTCGAGTAATCGGCCTTCAAAGTTTTGATAATTTTCTATTAATTTTTCATATTTTTTTTGCTTGCTTACTGGCTACTTTTCATATAAGAAAACCCCCAACCATTGCTATTTCTCTTGCTCTTTATTTCATTCCGATATTTCATTCAGATCGGATCAATAGTTATTGCACAGCATCAGAAAAAACAATGTAATATAGCACTTAAGTCATCCTGCGCCGTCACTATGCGCTCCACATGACCATAAAATAACGTTGCAATATCATGTGCACGCACTTCTAAACTCATTTTTCTAACGTCAGGAGTCCTCTATACCTCCAATTACCTTCCACCTCGGTTGTCCCAATTTCTTTATTACCCCCCCCCCACCCCCCGACCGAAAATGGAAAATAGGAAAGATAAATCCTCAGCTCAGTTGAAATATCCCTTCGGAGAGTATCATGGGCTAACAACACACTCCTTGTCGCCAAGGAAGGCAGACACGGCACACTGGCACGCGCGCACACCCTAACACACGGGCGCACATTCATTCACTCGCGCGCACATATTTTACCCATTGAAATGGATCACAGGAGGATAAATGTCAAAATACAAATTGACGTTGGTGCGCCACTAAGGCATATAGGTGAAAATCGCACACTCAGCGCTGATCAGGGAAAGTTGTCCAGGGTTAGGCACTCGTTAGCACCTAATTTTTCTTCGCAGTTCATATTCACGTGGGTAATTCTACAGTAACTTCCCAACCTTGGGACTCGGCCCTCGATTTAACTAATTTTGCTTTCTTTTTTTCCCCTACTTTTTTGTTTGTCCCTTCACCAACCACTTCTACTATCCACTTCATAAAGTGTGAGAGCCGTGCTGAAAGAATGAGGTGTAAACCGATCAGGACAGTCCACTTGAAAGGCTGTGCCAGATTCCCCAATATACTCCAGGCTTACCATGTCTAACAACGAAGATATACCATTATTAGGGGCAATGAGGCTTACCCCTTCATCAAATAGCACCAACAATTCAAACTCCCGATTCCCTCTCCTTTGACCACGGTTTTGAACGCTATAACTACTACCCCCTCCTCAATGCCTTCTAGTACAATATCCACCCTAGACAACACTCAACCCTCAGGAAACATTTCCACTTCCCCAACATGCTCAACTTCAACACCTGTACCCCCACAACATTCATCAACTACCCCCATCCTCCCTTATTACTACCTTATAGCCTTATTGTCCACCTCTCCATAACACTACCTCCTGCAACACTACTTCCTCTTCCATACACCCCCATGCTTCTACTACCCCCATCTCTACAAAATTATTAAATACTATAGCCAAGCCAAATGGGACCGATTTTTCATGATCCCTTCCACAGCTCCCTACTCTAACAACACCCTTCTCTTCCAACTGTTTCTCTCCTAAAATAAGTAGGCAAATTTTTTTTTCCATAGCCGACCCGACCGTTCCCGTCTCGTCACAGTAACCTCTGAAAACCAAGCTATAGCATTATCAAATCTAACTGATCTATATGGTAACCACATCCCTGCAGAATCCCGTCCAACCGGTACTGCTACCTCCGCAGCAAATTACCCTATCTATAAGAAGAGTTGGTCAGATTGTGGAGACTTACTCGCCTGTCTCATGTGCTATGATGCGATATCTACAATGCCACTCCATTCCTCCCAGAGGTCATCTAAGACCCCCACTAACATTACCAAAATTACTCTGTAGATGTGACCTTCCCTTTAATATTTATATTGGTGTAGAATCCTTCCCTGTCCGACCATATCAACCACCTCGTTAGTGCCAAAATTGTTGGCGTGCAGGACATCCTGCCAAACATTGACATTCCACAGCACAATCACATGTGCCAACTGTGGTAATCCACATTTTATAGGGGCTGCTCCCACCTACAAATTTGAGTAAGTTAGCAAAACTCAGATCCAGACAGGAAGCATGTTGATTTTTTTTTTTCTCTTACTCCCTACTCTAGTAATGTCGCTCACTCTGCCACTCCCCCTACCTCCTAAGCTTACACCCTCCCCTAAACCTATCCCTCCTTCATCTAACTTCCCCTCTTCTACCTATCTTCTCCATTCAAATTCTGCTGTCATCCTAAATCCAGACACTCCAATCTCTATTACAGCCCCAACACCTTCCCCTCTCCCTCCCTACACTACCCGCAGCAGACTAAACGTTCCATCCCCTCTTCCCCCTAGCACACAATCACCACCTTCCTTTGCCCCTCACAAGAAAACCTTTGTCTCTCAAAACTCCCTAACCAACTCCAGTGTGGAAACTCTTGAAGATATTTAAAACTTTCCCACACTCCCTTTGTCTCGTCTATACTTATCAGTCAGAAAACACCTTATATCATACCTCCTTTTCAAACCAGTCCATTGCACAGTTATTCGCATCTTCGCCGCTGGATCACACATTTCAGTCTACTCCCATTCCCAATTCCCACTCCATTGATTTTGTTGCTTTTGAAAATCTAATTTCCTAACTCCAATCACCTTTTCTTATAATTGGTGATTTTAACTGCTGCCACACTCTTTGTGGGTGATTCTATCATTAACTCCCATGGCCGATCACTAGAGCACTTCACCACAGCTGACATAAATTATTCTTAATTCAGATTGCCCCACACTTTGATACACAATCTTTTTCATGCATTTAGCTTTTCATTGGTCAGTTCTAGACCACTTTCCCTACAGCGACCACCCTAATCAACTATCAGCCCTTATCTCCTTTTAAAGAGCATCCACCTGTCTTCGTCGTACAATCCAGAATAGTTAAACAAATAGCTGGTGAAATGATTTCTCAATTACATCCTCTACATCTATCTCAAATGTTTGGCGCCGAATCTATAAACTATCAGGCAAACATCCCCACCCCCATCCTCCATATTAGAAATACCCTCATCTCTAATGCTCTCCAAGTCGCTAATGAACTAGGTGACTATTTCAGCCAGGTCAGAAGTGGTTCTCACCTTTCTCCACATTTCCATTAAGACCATCAGGGAACGTACCCCCATTATCTTCACTCTATCCTCTGCTGAGTCCCATAATGCTTCTTTTTATTCCTATGAACTCTGTTGCGGCACAACTGTAAGGTAGTAGTCTCATGAAATCCCTGACGGTATTCACTACCGTATGCTCCGGCAACTCCTATCTTCCTCCTTATCCTTCCTATTTACAATTTACAACCACATATGAACATCAGGAAATTTAGCTTTTCATTGGCAAGCTCTTATCCTCCCCTTCCTGAAACCCTCAAGACTTTTGCCCTATCACTAACTAGCTGCTTGTGCAAACTACTAGAGCGAATGGTTAACTTCCGCTTAATGTGGTATCTTGAATTTCACAATCTCTCGTTTCCAGTTTGGTTTCTGCCGTGCCCGAAGCACAGCTGACCCCTTGTTCATTTTGAGACATTACATCTGCATTTGCATGCCATGAATCTGTACAAGTTATATTTGACCTTTCCC